AATGCCGCAAACCCTCGGTAATCTAGGTTGTAATATATTTGATATTGGATTTATTTTTTTAATGGTATCTTGTATCCTTTAAGTATCCTTTATAAAGCAGGCCTAATCCATTCAAATAATATTTATCACGTAAACGAATTATTCCAAATGAAACAGGAGGCTGAGGCAGAGCCGGTCTGGCATCGCGGGACCCTACCATTGCCAAGGCCTCAGAAGAAATGTGAAAGGGGAAACAGGCCGAGTTTCGCCACCCGTTGCCTAGTTACGAGTTTAAAAGCTGTCACAGCTTTTAATCACAAGTAATTAAAATGTCACAATACTTTAACTATAAAGATAAAAAAAATAACGAGTACAAAACTAATATATATAAATAAAAAGCATGTATGATTGTGCGTCAGAGCACGGTAGAGCGAAATTGAAAATATGGTTTGATGAAAAAATTCAGTAATTAAGATTTTTTTCCAACACTCCTCTCACAAGAGCAGTAGAATAAAACTATGTAAAACCGTACAACTTAGATGCTTAACACTGCTGCATCGCAACACAATCAATCGTGTGGATAAACTTATAGTCTTTATTGATGACTAAATATAACAACACTAACACATCTATTATAAACTAGCTCATGCACCCATCGTTGACGGGTTTATAGTTAAAATTTGAGAATTTTTTTTTGAGATGGATATTGTATTATGGGGAGGGATTAATTTCATAACATCTGGTGAGGAGGGAGAGGTCATTTTAATTTTTAGAAGTTTTCTTCCGATTTCCGGCTAATCCGTTTGGTCGATCCTAAAAATGTATACGCCAACATTTGTTAGGCTCGGGAAGTTGAATAGAATGACACTTTGAACGGGAATATCGGGCGAAATTGAAATATGAGTGTGTTTTAAGCGACAACGCGTTACAGATGTTTGGTATTTCGGATTTTTCCCGCTGAGTTGTGAGAATTTTTTCCATCAGTTACAATAGTACAAATGTTAAATATGGCTCGCGGTAGAATTGGTTGGGGTGAGAATCGAAGTAACTGCCTAACCGGGATCTCTAGTCAAATTATTTAAGAATTCATAACTCTTGTTATATTCAATATTTTGTTTTCATTTAAAGCCTATGTTTTAAGTCAAGTAAACCTGAATGTAATGTCAAAATTTCAGAAGTCTACATTAAGCCATTGCTGAGCTTACCCCTGACAAAATTTCCTTGCAATGCGGACATACAGACAGCCAAAAAAATGTTTTAAAAGTGGATTTGGGGTCTGTAATGTATGGAACGGAAACATAACATGAAACGGGTTGATTCTATTCAATGTACAGACAAAAACTTTATTTTATTTATATAGATGTTCTTTAACCTACAAACATATGTTTATTATTAACATTTATTATGAACATTAACCGAGATTTCTTGACAAATTACTCAAGAATTCATAACATTGGTTGAATTCGATATTTTGTTTTCATTTAAAGCCTATGTTTTAAGTCAAGTAAAACTGAATATAATGTCAAAATTTCTGAAGTCAACATTAATCCATTGCTGAGCTTACCCCTGACAAAATTTCGTTGCTATGCGGACATACAGATAGACAAAAAAAATTTTTTAATGGTTTTGGTGTCTGAAATGTATGAAACGGAGAGACGTCATAAAACGGGCTGATTCTATTCAATGTACAGGCAAAATCTTTATTTTATTTATATAGATAAAAGTGCATTTAGAATTGGAAAACAGAATTAAACCCGTTTGGAGCTATACGCTTGAATTGTTTAATATAGATCTGAATGTTAAATGCTAAAAATTGTTTATAATATGTATATATTTATTTGTGCAGGCATTTATTTTGACAGATATAATAAATAATTCTTTCAATAATTAAATAAACTATGTTTTATTTTATTGTTTTATAAATTTTTATTTCAACCCCCTCTATCAAAACTTCATTCATTCCAATTCATTTCTATTAATACTATTATACTTCTGTATATATTTACGATTATATAATATATTATATGATGATAAGTGCTAGTAAATGAACAAATAAATTATTAAAAATAAAAAAATATGTTTACGTAAAGCAAACCATTTAAATATTTGTCATTACCATTGAATTTGATACTGAAAGTTACCTAAATTTACCATAATTCAAAATACTCATCAACTATATCACATGCATTTAAAGATGAATATAGAAAATATGAAAACCACAAAAAACAATTTGGACATATCAGAACATAATGACTTTGATAAATTTTTTGGTCATTATCAACCCCATTAAAATATTGATAACTTTATATTAAAAAACGTTTTAAATATGTTTAGTTTAGTTTAGTTTATATACATTTAATTTTAGTATTATTATTTTTTTGGATTATTTATTTATATTTATTATTAATAGAGTGTGAATGTGCTCTCTGAACACTATTATAAATGTCCTTAATTGTAACATCTCTCAATAAATATGTTTAAAAAATAAATAAATGATATATTAAAACAATTAATATATTCTCATAATCTTATCATTTCTATCATTCAACGACAATTACAAATGTTAGGTGATATTATAACAATATTTGCAACCCCTAAAAACTTTCTAGTCATCATCGAGGAATCGTGAGGTCAAGCCCAATGAACAGTATAGTCTTCCTTGAATTTTTATTTCTTTATTAATACAGCTAATCTGTTTTCAATTTATATAAATATTTAAATAGATGTAAATTTATAAAACAAAATATAAATAATAAAATGAGCATAAAAATAGTAAACTTGTAGTAAGAGAATGGTATTGTTGCAACAATTCGTAGTTGTTTGACAAACCGTGTTGGCAGCGACTCCGATTCGCTGGACACCATCGGACTATCAATGAATCCCAACGGAATGAATGAGAATCGAGCCAGAAACATGTTTCAAACACGAACAGAATTTTATTCTATTCATGTTCTAGAATTCCGGCATTTACAGATATTTTTTTCTGATCGTGTTGTGGTACATCTTCTTTTTTCTCCAATTGGACGTATTTCCCGAACGTTTTGTTGTTAACAGCGCCGAGTTGAGATCACATTTATACGGAGTTATTTTTAATTCAAGGTTTGTATTTCCTTCGTTTAAATAATTTTTTAAAAGAAATTTCATTAAATATGTTAACATAGTTTTTGATTAATTGGGATTTATCAAAAAACAAAACAATAATGAAGCATAAACCATTTTCATGGACTTAATTCTAGTATTTTTGGATTCCTCAACCCACATATGGTTTTCATATATCTACCTATATCTACCTATATACGGCTATGTATATACATATATATATATATATATATATATATGTATATACATAGCTGTAAAAAAAACAATAGCTACAGGCAATAAACATGATTACACTAATTCATGTAGGCGAATCATGTGGAAAATGTCAAAAGAATTGGAAATAAATTTAATCTGCAATTAAATAATATCTTTAAATTTAAACAGATGTTTTATATTAATATAAATATATATCGTAACTCGAAGACTTTTCCATATAAGGAAGAATAAATTTCGATACCGTACAGTCCAAAATAATACTGAATTATCTTTCGTTAATATATTCATCCTTTTTAAGTTTGATTAAAATTAAGCTTGATAATCCGATTTACGATCAAAGATATTAAATTTGAAAAGAATTTAGTACAAAATATAAAAAGTATTTTATTTGATTCCTTTATTGATTCTGGTAATTCTAACGTCTTTACGTCGTTATTTCAGGTTTTTTATTTGAAAAAAAAAAAGATTCTCGGGATAAGGTGGTTTTCATGTAGTGAAGAACACATGAACATTAAATTGAAAAAAAAAAACAATAATAGTGCATATACCATTGTTTTGGATTTAATCCTAGTATTTTTGGATTCCTCACCCCGCATATGCTTTTCGTATATCTATCTATATATATCTATCTACCTATATACGGTTATATATATATATATATATATATATTCCAATTCTTTTGACATTCTCCACATGTTTCGCCTACACGAATTAGTGTAATCATGTTATTGCTGTAACATATTTCTTTTTTTCGTGTAGGCGAAACATGTGGAGAATGTCAAAAGAATTGGAAATAAATTTAATTTGCAATTAAATAATATCTTTAAATTTAAACAGATGTTTTATATTAATATAAATATATATCGTAATCTCGAAGACTTTTCCATATAAAGAAGAATAAATTTCGATACCGTACAGTCCAAAATAATACTCAATTGTCTTTCGTTAATATTTTCATTATTTTTTCAAGTTTGATTAAAATTAAGGATGAACGTCCGATTCATGATCAAAGGTTTGAAATTCGGAAGAATTTAGTACAAAATATGAAAAGTGTTTTATTTGATTCCTTTATTAATTCTGGCAATTTTAACGTCTTTACGTCGTTGTTTCAGTTTTTTTATTTGAAAAAAAAAAAAAAGATCTCGGGATAAGATGGTTTTCATGTAGTGGAGAACACATGAATATTAAATTAATACAAACAAATTTTTAAAGGAAGGAGATGGTTCGGGGTGGCTTCATGGGGCCATAAATAGGCTAAATAGTGGTATAACTATTTTATTCAAAGCCAACGTTTCTACCCGACTTTGCATGTCTTCTTCAGGGCTAGAATGGACAAGATACAAACAGATAGAGAATTTTGGAAGTTACGAAACGTTGGCTTTTAATAAAATAGTTTTACCACTATTTAACCTATTAATGACCGCCATCCCGGACCATCTCCTTCCTTTATAATGCAACGGTCAACTTTCATATATTAAAAAAAATTTCTATTCCTTTGAAGATTTTTTTTAATTTAACTACAAAGAATGGCTTACGACCATACTTATCCTCACCATCCACATGAGTTTTCTTTTTTCAAAAAGCTGCATTAAAATAAAACATTTTATTTCATAAATATTTCTGCAAAGGTCCTGATTGAATCCTGTCAATGCTGAAAAGATACTGATATGGTTAGAGATACATCGAAAGAGCAGAAGACGGCTAACCTGATGAAGATATATATCTCGCTGCACGTAACCCTAAGAGAGTGCTAAGAGCCGAGCTGCTAGGTGTGGAGCCCCCGGGCGCTGAGGTTCAACTGATCGAGTCTACCGGAGCTGGATGGGGGTTGCCCCTGACCTTGGCCCCGTGGAACAGAGTCTCTCCTGAGGGGTGAGCTTCTAGGGATCAGCGGCCTCTAGTTCCGCCCGTGTGTCTTCCAAATATCAATAACGTAAATATATTATAAATTCATAAATTTAATAAAATTTTCTTTTTGCAATTAATCCATTTCAAGTGGGTCAGAGAACTGGTTCCTTGAACTCTTCGGAACAAATTAATACTTTTTTAGTCCACTCTTTAAGTTGTCGATAATTAAAAAGTATTTTTTATTGTAATATGTTAGCAAATGGTATTTCAAAAATCGTATTTACAAGCGAAACGAAAAAAAAAAAATACCTGAACGAGGAAGTGTATTTGATTTATATTATATTTTTTAAAGCAAGGAGACGGTCCGAGGTGGCGGTCATAAATGGACTAAATTGGCCCCGTGACCTTTTGATGTATATATTGGAGTTCTAGCAATGGCCAGATTCTCCACTCAAGTCATGAGTGTCCGTGGTTGTAGCGCCCTTTCTCAATCTCCGCTGGCTTTTAATACCAATGAAATGGTTGAGGAAGAAGCGCAGGGATCTCTTGAAGCCTTGCTTTCCCTCCACATGTGGGGAGATAAGTATGGTTCGGAGTTCCCATGGCCGACTGTAAATAGTGTAAATAGGTATGCCTGCATCTAAGATGTTTATTTTCATTAATTTTTCTTTTTATAAGATAATTTTAATTCTATTTTATTTATTTATTTTCATTCTATTATTAATATTTTCTTCCTTCACTATGATATTTTATTTTGTTCTTTTGTAGCTTTTTATTATTTGAAGTTAGCTTATTTTTTTTTTTTTTATTTGTAAATATGCTGTGAATGTGCTCTCAGAACTCTATTATAAATGTCCTTTATTGAGACAGATTGTAATATTTATCAATAAACAAGTTAAAAAAAATGGACTAAATAGTGGTAAAACTATTTTACTAAAAGGCAACGTTTCGACCCGACTTTGTAGGTCTTCTTCGGGGCTAGAACGGACAAGATACAAAAATATAGAGAATTGTGGAAGTTATATTATATTATGACAAAAAAATTAAAAACAATGTGAATAAGCTCATTAAAATTATAAACAGTAAGTATATTAAAATATAAACAGAGCTAAGCTAAGTAACAAGATCCAAAACTGAAGTAAATGGATGGTAACAATTGTTGTAGTGTAATTTATAATATATGCAAATTTGAATATACTTCTACAGATCTACAAAAGAATTGAAAGAAAAGGAAAAAGGATATAATATGAAATAATAGTCATAAAGGAATGTGGAGAAAGGAAAGAAAAAAAAATAAATTAAATAAATAAGTAACTAAAATAAGAGGCATACAGGTGTGTTCAGATAGGAGTTTCACTTAGAACTGGAAAACCAGAGTAAGTCTGCACCTGTAAGTCTCTAATTTTATTATTCTAATTTTAATTACTTAATTTCTTTTTTTTTCCTTTCTCCACATTTCTTTATGTATATTATTTCATATTATATCATTTTTACTTTTCATTCAATCTCTCCTGTAGATCTGTAGAAGTATATTCACATTTGCATATATTATATATTACACAACCATTGTTATCATCTATTTACTTCAGTTTAGGATCTTGTTACTTAGCTTACTCTGTTTATATTTTAATGTACTTACTGTTTATAATTTTAATGAGCTTATTCACATTGTTTATATTTTTTTGTCAAATATTATGTAACTTCCACAATTCCCTATCTTTTTGTATCTTGTCCGTTCTAGCCCTGAAGAAGACCTGCAAAGTCGGGTAGAAACGTTGGCTTTTTTTTTTAAACTTATTTATTGAAAAATATTACAATCTGTCTCTAGGACATTTATAATAGAGTTCACAGATCACATTCACATTCTATGTACAATAAATAAAATAAATTATACAGAAAAATAATATATATACAATAAATAAGAATAAAATAACCTAAAAATAAATAAATGAAAAGAACACATACACACCTCTATACAATATTTACAATTTGGCGACAGAACTCCAAACCAGACTTGTCCCTCCAACTGTGGAGGGAAATGTATGACTCCAGGAGTTCCCTGCACTCCTCTCTCAACCGCGTCACTAGGGCTAAACCCAGTGGAGATTGAGCAAGAATGCTTTAGCCACATACACTCATGTCGTGAGTGGAGAATCTGGTTATTGGCAGAACTCCAATATTTACAAACTATAAAAGATCGCGGGGCCACTGCCGTTTCAACCTTCTGGGAGGATTATAGGGTGGGAAGTGCTTGATAGGGATTGTGCAATAGGATTGGGTGATACGTAAGGTTCTGGTGAATTGGAGAATTTTTCTGGACAAGGTTAGCAATTGTTTCATCAAAATCGGCTAACCGGATGTGGCACTTTATATAATCGATGTTATACATTTTTACGAATTTAATCAAATATTTCTGTATATCAGTGCATTACTAAGTTGTTTTTAACATCAGCTAGGCCTTATCCACATTGATGTCATTTTACAGGGCTCAAATGCTCAATGTTCATATACGCCTTCCTCTAAAGTACCTTTAATTTGTTTGTTTATTTAAACTTTACTGTCTCTCGTTGTTTGGAATTATGAAAAATGGCTAAATATAAGTTTTGAAAGAATTTGATAAATGGAGGAGAAAAAGGAGAAAAAAGAAAATGCTTATCCAGCTCGAAAATGAATCTCCGAAAATAATAGTCAGAAGGTAAACGTATAATGTATTGTTGGAAAGCGGAGAATTTCAGGAAAAGTAATATCGAAGGTAGTAATGAGGTTTTCAATTGCCTACCGTTAATATAATTAATAGGGTTTTTGTTATTTTAATAATGTTAATGATTTGTTAGCTGTAAGCTTTAAACTGTAGCTCCGTTAAAAGTGCACTTCAAAAATTGTATAATTGCTTAATATTGCCAGAAAATAATTTCTATTCAAAGTAGAGAGGTGAGTGAAAGTTGTGTGATGCGCGCACCAGATTTATTTTCCATTACTCCGATCCCAGATCTATCCTATCAGATCGAAATTATTTCTCAAGATGAAATTAAATTTCTTTTAAAGTTGATATTTTCGGGAGAGTTCATTTTATATAAATAAAATTAGGGTAAACAAAACAATCATTGACATCTTTAAGTCAATATTTGCATTATAAGTTCATAGAAAAATAGTAAACATGGTTCATTCAAATTGAAATTCATTGTAAATGTTCCTGATTTACTTTATTTTAAGCTGAATATAAAGTTGCATGCCAAAAACATCACTGGAAGTAATTTTTGTAATAATTGAAAATAATTAGTGCTAAATCGGGTATTGACTAGTCTAAAGATCTGTAATTGACACCACGGTTATTGAAATTCCTTCATGATTATTAATTTATAATGAAAAAGGATTTCTCCTCTCCTTTTTTTGAAACAGAAAATTTTCATAAAAGCTAATTTTTTTTCAATTAAAAATTAGGGTGCCAATGACTTTCCAAAGTGTCAGTAAATATCTAGTTTACTCTATTATTTATTTGAATGTCATCTTGGCTAGGACACCTTCTTATACAATTATTGTCCTAGAAACAGTACTTTCTTACAAAGTACTAAAGTCAAGACCCTTCGTAGGTTATAGTGGTACATTTTTTTTTACAATGTCCATAACTACAAAATAAAGACATGATTTTTAGGCTTGTAAATCAACAAATAAAAATTGAGTCACTTAAATAAATAAATCACTCAAAATTTTTGATAGCATTTGTAAAGGAAAAATTTCGATTTTCATTTCTTACAAATTGAACATATCAATACAAATTTCCGTATAAATTTGATTACAAATGATGACTTTTTCATGAAGCTCACATCATGCTCTTTCCCACTGTGGAAGTAAAAGTGACTTGCTAAACACATAGATTAAATATAACAATACAAAAGTACAGATGGTGGGATGAATAAACATAATTAGGATTACAAACAATATCGTAGTTAAGAAATCAAAGCTAAGCCTTTCATAAGGGATTTTATCAGATTTTTCTAACGGAAGAATCACTTAGATCTCCAGACTACCTATTTATCTATCTATTACATATAGTTGTATTTATCTGGTAAGATAAATATAACTGACTCTGCTTATTTTAATTACTTTTATTTCTGTTTTAAGCTATTCACCAGCAGTTCGATAATTTAAACAGGGATGGCGTTCAGATTTCTTTCTTTGAAAAAATTAATCGATTAAAAATAATAATGGATCACTTTAAGTGAAACTCAGTGATTGTGAAAGATTTTTCAATCTTTATATTTTTGGCTACAATCGTAGAGTTAACGAACTATATATTGAAAAATTTCATCCTTTGCTGTATATACATTTTCCTTCAATTTCATAATAATTAATATTTAGAATCATTGAAGGAACTAGTCGACTGTTCTACATATCATGGGTGATATTTATTCATGAGGTAGTCTTTTAAAAAATAATTTTTTTAAATTTTTTATCTCTGCAAACGTTTCAACCCAAACATGTGGGTCGTCTTCATGGCGTGGTTCGAGCACTGAAGGCTTTCAAGTACTCCAGTGCTCGAACCACGTCCTGAAGATGACCCACATGTTTGGGTTGAAATTTTTTAACAATTAAAAAATTTTTAAAAAAATTTCAAAAGACTACGTCCTGAATATTTATCTCCCATAATTAATATTTAGCTACTACAATTAAAATTAAGCTTTATTTATAGTAATAAAAAAGTGTTTAAAATTTCATTTGAAAAATAGAAATAAATGATTGTAATAGTTTGTAATTTTTGCAGGTTCAGAAATGAATGCTCGATGTTTAACTGCTGCATAGCCAAAGGCTAACACTGATAATCAACCGATCTTTATTTTTATTTTTTTATGTTTTTGCAATACCTATAAAGTATATCTGATATACTGTATCATATAATACATCTATATACTATATCATTGCTGTTTAGTTGATATCCTCAGTCAATTATCAATATGTAT